TTTCGTTTAAGTATTTGATATAACTATATTTATTGATGTCCACACAAAATATTTTCGCTACTCTAAAAGATGAACAAAGCAAGAAGAAAATGGAAAGACACAGACTAATGTTTTGTTTTGGCAAATTGTATCATTTCATATGATCAAGTCAGATTGCCCAGTCCGATTTCTACCTAATCAAGGAAAAATAATACATGTAAAAAGCACTTTATTAATTTGTAACGTCCGAGGCGTTATCTGGGTCTACCTTCATCAGGGACGCTGATACTAATAAATTACCAAAAGCCTACGATTTTAAGTACCTGATCAATTTGAAAGGGTAACACAGGTTAATGGCTACTAGCTATAGTATATAACAAAAAGAGTCAAAAGAAATAAGCAAATCTAAAAAGGGAATATGTTTTCCATAAACTTACAGCATACTAGTTTAACTTGTGCGATAAACAGCGACATACTTGATAGTTTTTAATGAGATATAATGCATCTCAACGAGAGCGCTAAAACAAGACTGATAAACAATGAAGCATCTCTTAGAGTTAGAGTAATCTGTTGATGCCTTTCATCTGGTAAAGATGTAACTCTACGTGCATAAAACAGTTTTAACAAAAATACCGAAATCAAGGTAAATTCATGGAGTGGAAGTCCATAAGACCTGACACAATAAAACGCTCGACTATCTCAACCAACTGATCGAATAAAAAAACAACTGTCATATTCCTGAGTATAAAGCTATCCAACAAATTTGGTCACATATTCATCAAGTTTTAAAATCGATTATTAGATTGCACTCTGCTAAACAATGACAAAATATAAAAGAGGGTTTGCAGAGATTTGAAGAAACATTTTGATCTTTTGATTGTACCCCCTTTAGAAAATTCAGAATACCAGGCTTTGTTTTATAGTTACATCATCAAATACACTGGCTTTGTTCAAATTATGACAGACACCTTAATGAAAGTAAAATATCTGCAATCACAGATTGATGCAGGTCGGCGGAGACATTACCATTCCTTCGTGATTGTAACTTGCTGGTTGATACCATTTATCTAGCTGAACAGCATATTGTTATATCATCTACTTCACAAGGATTATGCTACACAATCGATAGTGTACCAATTGTATAACTATGTGTATCTCAGTACCTTCGGCGAAACATCCTTCTTGAAAAATGTGAATTATAGCTAAGTTTATATTGACAATTGTATATTACTTAATTAGTGTATTCAGTTGAAAAAAGGTTGAAATGATAATGTTCATTATTTAAAAAGATTCATGTGAATTGATGTTTCATGTAATAATCAATGTGATATTGTCAGCTTCAGAAAACTATAAATATGCATTGTACAGGTTGATTTAATTCAAACTTAATAACATAACATAAACATTTACGCATGATAATTTCAACTCGCTCAACTATCCTTGATTTCGGTTTCGGTTTCTGTACATGGTGAAGATGTTTAATATGAAACCTACTTAGTGACGGATTGTTTGTTTAAGTTGAGAAACAACGTATACGAAATCTAGCATTGTTGGATTAAAGTCTTAAACGAAACCCACCTTTATATCTGTTATACAATGTATGTCGAAATGTCAATCTGACCCCAGGGTAATCGTTCCTTAATGAATATTTCATTATGTTGCCTTCAGTTAGGCAAAACACAACTAATTGGGCCCGGTAAGAAAGAACATACCTGACAGTAGTACATGGTTAAAACAAAATAGTTCCTGCTCATAGGTGTAACTTTCAAAATATGTAGAATAGTTTAGTAATTTTGGTATCTAATGAAAGCTGAATGACTGATGATCATTGCAAAACACTATTTTGCTGATGATTTTGAATTATAAAAAAAGATTATAAAACTTTAAAATGAGGGCACCTTTTGTCTTTATCTCATATCTCAAAAACCTGTTTTGGGGAACCAGACCGCTTTTGTATCAAATTGAAAGTATTTTGATGTATTCAGAACAACACAAATAAATATAGTGTTTTGACATAGAATGGCTATCATTTTATTTGAATTTAAGACAAAAAGACAAAACATCTATGCGTGCTTTAAATAAAAGAATTTAATATAGGAAGCAATGAAACCAAAAAATAGTTGTGTGCCTCCGTTTTTCATTTACTCATACATAAAACTTCAAAAAAATGTTTTTGTAAAAAACTTAATCTAACTTTTGTTCAAATCATTTTTCAATGTCTGATAGCAAAATCGTTTCAAGATAAGTAATTTTTAAACAGTCATATTATTGAAAAGTAAGTAAGTATAAAACTGTTTCAACATTTTTAGCAAGAGTTAAACGATATTTTGTTTTCGTGTAGTGTATGAAAAGTTGTTTCATCTAAGATTGCTCCAATTTGTACATGCTTATTAATTTTCAACAAGTTTAATGTAATTATAACATGTTTGAACTACGTTTTTAAACAATCATGCTTACTCCTTTCGACAGCAAAAGCATAACAATGTAAGCTGTTCCTTTGCTTTGTTTTGTGTTTTTTTTTTTGCTGTGCACATACTGATTTTGTGTCATAGATGGATACCCCATATCCTGTTTTTTCTAAAAGTAGGTTCGACTGGTCTTAAAGAACCCATTTACTGACCTTTCTAAGTTCAGTTTCACATAAACAGTCATGGTGAATTTTAACAATAAGAAAAAAGGGAAATGTGGTAATAATGTCAATGAAACATCTATCCGCAAGAGTTCAAATGATATGGATACAGACAATCACTGTGTAGCCTTCAACAACGTGAAAAATCCTCCACGTACTGCACCTATTCAATGGTGTAAATATCATAGTATCTCTTCAAGAGGAATACATTTACACTTATAGAACAGAAAAGTGAAAGAACACCCCCCCCCCACCCCCACCCCCCCCCACCCCCCCACACACACACACAGATAAAGACAAACAAAAATAAAATTGTAAAATTACCGCTGCTCATGATTGACACAATTTTTGCTATGACCAACAGATATTGAATTTTTTCGTCTAATTATGTGACATTTTATTCGTACAAATTAACACATCAACACATTAAATATAGGCATTTAACAACTGTCCTTCGATCTCTTACATTATACCAGTTTAAATATTTGTGCAATGATACCTAATAGATATATTTGAATCATATGAAATAGCATTATATGGAGATCAATAATTTGCCTTTATAAATGCATTTAGTTATTTAGCATGCAGTTAGTGTCGATATATTATAAATTTATCAAGTATAATACAATGTAAAACAGTCATTCTAAAACATTTTTGTGTTTACTGTGTTTTTTTATAGACGTTTATTTTGTATTTAATATGCCTAAAAACTTAAGATAACTTATACATGTAGCAACAAAAACTACATTTTATAAAAAAGAATTAAATGCAATTTGACCATTATGACAACGGGATAAAAATAAATAAATAAAATACAAGTAAGAAGAAAAATATTATTTGCATGAATTTACTCATCTACTGATAAATTTTTATTAACATACATCTTTTCAACAACAATGAATTACTAAATATTTTAAGAATTAGGTATACATGTATGAATGAAGGTAAACAAAATCGTTTAACTTAGTAAATAAATGTACTGTTCGCACAGCAAATTTGTTCTCTGGTCCTTCATTGATTGTTGTCTTATTTGTAATCGTAACATATATTGCACATTTTATGTACAGAATAGCAATACATTGTGACAAAATATTTATTTACATATATTTGTACATAACTAAAAAACAGGTAGAACGGAAGTTTCTGCCGAAGCATTTCAAATTTGTTTGGAGACGAATATAAAAAACAATTTATTTTTCGAGACAATGTATGGTTGTTCTTTTTATACTGTAACTCCTACAACTGTTATCATACAACATATGATAGAGTTGGGTAAAATAAATTATTATTTTCTTTCAAAACAGACGACGTTACATTTTCGTGTATATACATTCCTTATTAGTTTCACAGGGGGACGATTATTTCATGTTATGTGACGATTTAAAAAAATATATTAAAACATATTTTATTTGACATCACATATAATAAAAATGATTCGTTCGGAAAGATTTCTAATTGTCTAGATATCAAATCATGATTGCACACACGTCATCATCTAAGTGAAAGTAAAAGTCTTCCTTTTTTTTTTTAATTTTTTTTTTTTTGGTAATTTTGTTTGTTTAATTTGTATTTTATTTTTTGTTTTTGTTTTCTAAATATCATTTATATTTATCAAAATCATCTGCGCCTCATTTCCCCACCCCCCCCCCCCCCCCCTTCTAACCCCCCAGAAAATTTACTGTTCATCTTCTTAATAGAAATGTACGATAAATTAATATCAACTTCAACTAAAATTATAAGGTCAGTTACTATATTACACAAATATGTATAGGTGTACGGTCAATTTAATGTTGTGTGTGTTTTGTTCAATCTTTAGTTTGCTCTCTGTGTAGTGTTTGGTTATTGTTGCTTGTATTGTAAAGTTTGTTAACTACTTTCGAAATCATATTGTAACAAAGGTGTCCCTCTTTTGGTTTCCCTGGTATTGTCAATTCCTACGTTTATATCTAGTAATTTTCGAAATAAATTTTGTTTCAAACATTGCGCTGGAGAAATTGAAGTTCGAAGTTTGAATTTCATTAAAGAGCTTCGTTTTATTGAAATAGTGTATCGCTTAAATTCTAATCATTGACAGATAAATACCTTTACAAAAACAATTAACTAAATGACACTGAATACGTTCATCCAATTTTAAATTATCAATCAATTAAAAAAAATAATGTTTTCGACATTATATTTAGGTTACTGAGATGTAATTATAAAAACAAACAATATAAGGGAAGTTCATTCGTATAAATACTGTGAGCTGTTAATTAATATAAATTGTAACGATTCAGGAATTTCGAACAGTGAACAAAAACGACCTTAATGCAAAACTAAATAAATGCAAGAGGAATTGTATCACTCATAGTGTATTGGTATCACTTCATTTATGATGCACTTCATATTGTAGTTGTTTGGAATATTACATCGGATCCAGTAATTTTCGGTGAAAGCGTTACATTGAAATGCTACGTTCAGTTTGGCACATGCAACACAATTGAATGGAGGAAATGGAGTGGAGGAGTTTACAACAGGCTGATTTGTTTAAATGGTGAATCATATTTCAAGGACAAATATAAAATGAATTTGAGTAATAAAAGCCAGGACTATGAATTAGAAATTTTACATTTTAACGAATCAGACGTCGGCTGCAACTATACATGCTCTTGTGGATTCAACCATTACACACACAAACTATTGTTGAAAAATTATATATGTACGTATATCTTATTTTGCATGTGTTTGCTTTTCGCTATGTTTCTTTTAAAGTTATCAAACGTATCTTGGTTCATTTTACTACATGAAGATATAAAGATCTTGAAAAGACTCCTGGGGAAATATTTGAAGAAAAGAGCAAAAACATAGTGAAATGAACTGGTCGTCTATCAGAAAATTTTGGATTTTTACAATCGTAAGGTTTGAATGTAATTGAATTAATTACCAGAAGGAACTTGACTAGTACACACCAGCTTAATATTTATGTAAATGTAGTTAAATGATATTGAAAGTCGCCACTTCCACGCTTCATACAAAATGTTATTCGGTCAACGTCTTTACACTTGAATTACATTACAAAAAGAAGCAATCCGTTCTTAAGAACTAGATAGATAGAATATTGGTCGATTTCTATGTTAATTGTTTTAAATGTTTTGTTTTGTAAAGAGAATTGTTTACTGAAAAAAAAATGCTAAAATGTATATATCACCTATAAAACAAAATATCTGGTAAAACAAGAATAAGCTTCGAATTCTATATAGGCATTAAACAAATTAAAGTTTGTTTTTGTTTTTATTGTTGTTTCTATTTGTTTTTGTTTTTGTTTCTATTTTTGTTTTCTTTTACAAAAAAAGAAGAACGATTTAATGTGTCTTGATATAGCAATCAGCCAACTTCATTAACTAAATAACCGACTTTTTTATTAGATTGGTAACAACTGGCTCTTTCTGATATAATCGAAATTTGTTGTTGTAATTGATGTAACGCAAAATGTCACCGTATTGTTTCTTTTAAACACTCATTAGCAACATACAAACTATCGTTAACACTAAAATAAACGCACACCTTATAATTTTACAGATTACCCTGCAACGTATTTTGTGTCTGATACCCAGGTAAATGTTGGCATGTTGACCGGGATAATCACCATGAGATATGTTTTCCCGATTCCCAGCTGTGTCGCAAGATATGGTGTAAGTATTTTGAAAACTTCCTGTACTGAGGTTTACTAGCTACGTAGATAATTCAGGCATCTGTATCACAAATACAAGTAGAAATACCGAAATGCACACCCAACATGGTGGAATGATAAAACGAAACCTCCATAAAAGCTGCTATTGTAAAATATTGATATTCTGATTAACAACCTTAAACTAAACTAATTTTTTTCTTCAACGCATGTCCTTTTTTAAAGTGTTCATGTCTGAAAGAGTTCGCTGAAATCTAAGTGAAAGAAAGATATGAATCAAATAGGCATTTTGATTTATTGATAATGAATTTGACTTTTCTGTAATTTGATTAGACGTGTACAGTTTATTCAATGATCAATAATTTATTGATAATTTCTCATTCATATCGATCTAAATACATTTGTATAATTCATATGATATACGGTATGTTCATTACGGTTGTTTTTGATAATGTATTAAATTTCTCTTTCTGTTGAACATACTATATAAGTTGCACATTTCAGGAAAGAATGAAATAAGCTAGACTTTGTCACGTTTGCTTGCTACACATTACGAAATTGCTTCTTCTATTGCTATTCAGGCATTGTTATGTGTAATTTTCCGCGATAAAACTATCATTTGAGGATAGTATCTTATAGCTGTAAGTAAATATTTATTTGATTGATTGATTGATTGGTTTTTAACGCCACTTTCAGCACGATTGTGTTATGTCGTGGCGGACTGTTTTTATTGGTGATAGAAGCCGGAGTGCCCGAATAGATCCACCGACCATCGGTAGGAAGACTGACAATCCTAGTCAATAAAAATTGGAGTCGAGCTCCTCTGCCACGTGTTGAACTTACAACCTCAGTATTGACAGGTTAGTGATACAGTAGGTCGACTTCTTAGACTACTCGGCCACCGAGGTCCCAACATTTATTAGATCTTGGATATATATGACATTCAAAATTGTCACAATGGTAATATATAAAAAAAGCGATAAAAGTAGTTCCGAGTGAAAATCGAAATGAATCTAATCCGATTGAGCATAACACTGATCTCAATGTTATTCAAGCAATGATAAAAATAGTTACCATAACAAATACGCTTCATGTAACACAGTAAAGCGTTTGGTTACGACAGATCCATTCGACGGAACAAAAATAGAAATAGAAGAAAGAAATTGAAAAACATGATCGAAAATTGAATTTTGTCCAAAACATTATCTTTTGATTTGGGAAAAAATTAAATTGGACACACCGAAGATCAAAATGTAATGCTCATAACGGATTCACTTAAATGTGTATTTTAGAACAAATGAATTTTGACAGATAGATAGTTTATTTTCAAATTTGTAATTTGTTTTGCAGAATATAAATCATAATATGAGTTTTGCTGCAATTTCACGATTCAACTTTACATATACATACGATGAAATCAATACAAGGTATAAATTTAACGTTAAAGAAGCACGTTGTGCTAAAAACGTAACTATCAAATGTAGCCTTGGCCCGATGATATTTGAAGTTACCAAAACAGTCCCTGACGTTACATCCTATTGTGAAGGTAAGCATGCACATTCTATTCTCGGTTGTATGTTTTGCTGTCGTGAACATATATTTATTTGCTTACATATCTATTATTTCTCAATTTTGATACATTTACATTTTCTAAGATGTGATTTTATTTGCAAGCAAATAAATAAACATATTTTGAGATCAATAAGACAATATCATTTCTTGATAACCTTGACGGAATCCAATGCAAGTAAGCCCTTATTGCTTAGATCAAAAGTACTTTCTACATGTTCAAGACTGGATACATCATTAACTGCATCTTTACAAGAACAGGCATTTGCAACTATACCCACACAATACCAGGGGGCTAAAGAATATTCGCCGTTACTGGAACCGTTCTTGCAGCTCGCTTAATGATTTTTGATTATAAGATATCGACATATGTTTTTGTTTACACTAAGTATCTCAAACTTAGTCCGATATACTGCCACCGATTGTAGCATGGTATGATTTCAATACCAGTACACTAAATACATGTAGTTGGTTTCAGATACTGCGATTATTCTTCTATACCATGGATTTGTTTAAAATATTATTTCTTGTGCCTTTTTTAGGTTTTTTTTTCCCACACCGCTATGATAATGGTTATTGCTCTATTAAATAACCGACATTCAAGTACAGGTTTTATATAAAAACATTCATATAGGCAGTTTTAGTACATTTTCAGTAACTGTTAGTCTTGTTTGATACGGTATTATTGTTATACCAGTCCTGCAAATTGTTTTTGGTTTACATCCAGTTTCCTATTGGAATTTGTATTGCTCAAACTTTATACTTGTGTGCACTGTTAAGTGGTCGTTTAATTATGGTCTTTTATTTTATTTTATGATGGTATGATACTAAAACACTAACGAGAGGAATTGTGGTTGATTTTCAAATGATGAAGACATAATCTTTCAATCAGTTTAATTGAGGTCTGTAGCTGGCATGTCAGTAACTGCTATTAGTCCTTTGTTAATTTAGGTCATTTTGCTTAGTTTCTTCTGTTACCTATTCCGACATCGGACTCGGATTTCTTTTGAACTGAGTTACCTGTGCGTATTGCTGTGTGTTTGTTTATTCTACATTGGCTAGAGGTATAGGGGAGGGTTGAAATCTCACAAAACATGTTGAACCCCGCCGCGTTTGTGCGCCTGTCCCATGTCAGGAGCCTCTGACCTTTGCTAGTCTTGTATGTTCTTTTTTAATTTTAGTTCATTTATATGTTTCGGAGTTTAGTGTGAAGTCCATTTTCAATGAGCTAGTACACATTGGTAGCCTTGGGCTGTTTTCTGCTCTTTGGTCGGGTTGTTGTTTCTTTGACACATTCCCCATTTCCATTCTCTGTCTGTTCATTCGTCCTTCCGTCCGTCCGTCCGTCCGTCTGTCCATCCGTAAACAACACGTCGGACAATAACTCAAAACGCTTTCACCAATTTTCATGAAACTTTGGTTAATTGTTAATATCTATAGACGTAATCTCCCTTCCGATTTTTATAAATTTCAGATTTAACGTTTCTGAGTTTTGGAATTTTATTCATAAAATATTGGGGATTTTGGAGTTTTCATACTTTAACTCAAAAATGCTTTGAACAATTGTCATAAAACTTTCGTGAGTTTTTCATATATATTGACATAAATTCCCTTTCGATATTTAAAAATTTCTGATTTTTTTTGGGACTTTATCATAAAAAGGGGGGATTTTCAAGTTTTTGGACAGTAACTCATAATCGCTTGAGCAGTTTTCATGAAAATTAAGAGACATGTGTATATCTTTTGTAAGCTGCCTTTAATTTTTTTTTTATACATTTCTGGTATGACATTGCGGGGTTATGGAATTTTATTCACAGAAAAATCGCCGAAAACAGTCCATTTTTCATACTTTTGATGGTTAGGGAATTTAATCCTTTCCCATTATCGAGGCCAGAAAATTAGTTAAACTTGTGATAGCCTTAATAGTGCCAAATTGTTCATGTGTTTTGTCAATGGGTACCACTGTGTGTTCATGTCTTTTATTTATATTTTTTTGGAAAAGGGGGACGGGGTGTCTTTTGAGCAGTGCTCACAGTATTTTTAGTATCATATGTATTCATTGAAAGCATAAAGATGAGCCTACAGAGCAAAGGGTGTACCATGCGCTCATGGCATGCCTCTTTACTTATCTTTATTTTTTTTCATTTATAAATCACTCTAATAGTAAAGGCTTTATTGATTAAATCAGGTATTAGTTTTAACTAATCTGACAACCTGGATTAAATAATTGATGGACTATTATCTATATATTCAAACTTCTTTGAATTTTTTATGTTGTTTGTTAAATGGCATTATACGAATTTTCACTTGCCATGCCTGTTTGTAATCTAGCCGACCGTTCTTGGAAATGACGAATTGAATCTCTAATAATTTCAATAATGTTATTTTGAATACAACGTAATACAGCATGTTACTATTTTAAGAAAAGTCATTACCAGTTACCCCCCAGAAAATGAAATAACAATATTTTATTTTCATCAGAAGTTTCTACTGTATCCGACACAAGCAAACGTTCACTAAAAATTTCTTTACCAAATTATCTTAATCATTTAATAGTACGCAGATTGCTGTATTTGTTCTATATGGAATAAAGATTCACCATTTTACAACATTCTGATGTAAAAATGAATATAAATATAAACGGACATAATTTATACACAGATTCCTTTACTTTGCATATTTTGTATGCAGCAAAATATTTTGATGTTTTTTTTTAAAGAACCCACTGAAATAAAGCTGCTGATATTATTAGTGATATTTGGACTTCTTGTTTTTTTGCCAATACTGTTTGCTACGCTGTGGATCAACTGTCTGGTAAGTGTTTTTGATGGAATATGTCAGGCTTGCTTTTAACCTATATATAATTACATTAATTTACAATATCTAATTGGTTTTAGATAATTGTTTCATATTGTACGTACAGTATTTATAAGTTTTAAGGAGGTAAACTTAGATGTTCCGGAAGGGTAAGCAGTTCTTGCTTCGTATGTGGTACCCTTCAAGTTGCACATGCAAGTAAAAATCTGGATAAATATATACTATCAAACCATTTCAATTTAAATTTTAATATAGCACAAAAATGGCCTAATTGCTCAAATTTAAACAAACATACTGCATCCTACACAAATATCATTTTGGACATATTTGACAAATTAACTGTCATGACTGATTTTATATTATTTTTAATTGTCTAAAATTTCTATTGTATCAATTATAATACATGTTGCAATGTGTAAAGTAAGTTCATAAATTAGTGAAAATTTCAAGTAAAAAAAAACACGATCATTTTTTACTAGATAGTTTCTGCTCCTGCGTGAAAAGAATATTTTACATTAATAGGTAAATGAAGATGAAGACTCTTGTAGTGTGCATTGTTTTATTGTTCATTTCGACTAGTTTATGGTGCATCCAAGGAGTGTACGACAAGGAATGTTGCCTTTTGTTTTATATTCTACTTTCAAGGATACAACACTAATCTCTTATTAATGACATTACAATGGTAGATGAAACGGATTAAACTTTTTGTATGTTCGTGTTCATTATAGGATGTGATTTTAACTGTACATGATGTGATTTTTTAATTAGATGGTGTGATTCTATCTTTTGGTGTGCAATCGACATTACCTGACGTGCACTTATAATTCTATGAGGAATAATGTTTATAGTAAGCACTTGTCATTATATGATGTGCTAATTTTATATTATGTCAATTTTTCTTTATTGGATGTGCTTTTACCATTGATTGTTTCGATTTTGTCTTAAAGGGACATTAGCCACAAGATGTAAAAAAAAATATGATTTGTTTTTGTTCAATCATTAATGAAACTGAAATAATGAAATAATAATTCGCTTTTAGCAGCCAGTTTGGTTCAATTTTATCAAAATTAGCTAAGAAACATCGCTGATGAATTATTCACTTGCAAGTGAATAATTCGACCTCATTGAATCCATATTCATGTGATATTCAGTTTAAACCCTTAGCTAGATATGGGTTACGTGTAAATTAGGCAATGGGTTAAACGCGAGAAAGAAGACGTACACACTCTTTCCGAATGGAGTAAGGCTGTGATGTCGTTAATACAGAATTAAGAAACTGAATGGGTCTATTAATACCCATGCTACATCAATCTTTAAAGACCCAAATGTTGCAAAACATCTGTTCTAACTCCATGACAAATATGTTGTTGTCCACGCAGATAAAGCCCCAAACAACATCGTTTTTGTGTGTAAATCACATTACATAAACTGCTTGATAAATGAATTAGGTATTGACAATTCACTTGGGAACTCAACATATACCCCAACGACACTTACTAAAGAGGAAATCCTGGATAATCATAGGTGTGTTCTATGTTCCTTTGGAATTTCAACCAAAGATGAGGAAATGAATCTTCCATCACTGTATTGGATACCTAAGCTACATAAGTGTCCTTACAAACTACGGTATATTACTGGGTCTTTCAAGTGTTCCACGAAACCTCTTTCTAAATTATTAACATCAATTTTATCAGCAATCAAAGCCGCGCTTCAAAGTTATTGTGAAACTACCTATTCAAGAAGTGGCGTGAATCAAATGTTGATACTAAACAATTCCAAAGATCTTTTAGAGTACATACAATCTAAGACTCTTTCATCTTGCAATAGTATTAAAACATTTGACTTTTCTACACTTTACACAAGTATTCCCAATTCAAAACTAATAGACAAATTGAAAGAGTTGGTCCTGCTTTGTTTTATAAAAAAGAATGGCCAACGTAGATACAAGTATCTGGTCTTAGGGAGGGATAAATCCTACTTTGTAAACAATCACTCTGATTCGAACAAAATATTCTCTAAAACTGACATTATCAAGATGCTTGATTTCTTGATTGACAACATATTTGTTACGTTTGGAGGACTTGTTTTTCAACAAACAATCGGCATTCCTATGGAACCAACTGTGCCCCTCCTCTTGTCGACTTGTTCCTTTATTCATATGAGGCTGACTTCATACAGGAACTTCTCAGGAAGAAAGAAAAGAAGTTAGCAGTATCCTTTAACTTTACTTTCCGCTACATAAATGATGTTCTCTCACTAAATAATTCAAAATTTGGTGACTATGTTGAACGCATCTATCCCATCGAACTTGAGATAAAGGATACAACAGATAGAGTGAAGTCTGCCTCATAACTTGACTTACATCTATATATTGGTCAATGAGTGCCGATTGAAAACAAAACTTAATGACAAAAGAGATGATTTCAACTTCCTAATTGTGAACTTTCCATTTTTATGTAGCAACATTACAGCAGCGTCTGCATACGGAGTATATATATCTCTCAGTTGATACGATACTCCAGAGATTGTATTTCCTATCATGATTTCCTTGATAGAGGATTGCTGCTCACAAGGAAGCTATTAAACCAAGAGTTCCAAGTGGTGAAGTTGAAATCATCCCTCGTAAATTTTACGGACGCCATCACGAGTTGGTTGACCGTTACGATGATAGCGGATATGTTCCTAATGTCGTAACTACAATCCCGTCCCCTTTTCCCGAATGTGACCTACCGAATTAGACTTGTTACCGGGTTTGTACTAACATGAGCTAAACGACGGGTGCCACATGTGGAGCAGGATCTGCTTACCCTTCCGGAACACCTGAGATCGCCCCCAGTTTTTGGTGGGGTTCGTGTTGCTCAGTCTTTGGTTTGCTATGTTGTGTTTTGTGTACTATTGTTTGTCTTTTTCTTTTTTAGCCATGGCGTTGTCAGTTTATTTTCGACTTATGAGTTTGAATGTTCTTTTAATATTATTCGCCCCTCTTTTAGACGTGTTCAGCTATTAAAAGAAACAGAATGTCAAAATTGAAAGTAATACAAGAGTTATCCATTGTGTTGACTGATTTGATTAACAAAAACACATTCTTGTACAGGTAAAAACGATGATTAAGATATTTTTTTCCCTATAATATGAAATAAAAAAAACCCTAGAAAATCCATTTGCACATGTTCTCTATCTATTTATAACTATATTTATGTTTAGATCGTGTTATGTGACCGTCGGCAGTCTTCGGAGGTCACCTCGATGGTTAATTAGATGGCTTCTATATAAATTACACACAGAATTCTGCTACATATTATCGAATCCATGCATCGTTAATTGTTTATTTGAGACTGTTTGTGATTTGAATTTACGTTTTAGTGAGTTATAAATCACATATGAGAATTAGTGTCAAATCGCTGACCATGAATTTGACAGCTTATGCCTCTTTAATGTTATGTACTTTTGTCTTTGTATGGCATGGAAACAACAAAAGGTAATTTTCAGTTGACTTATGTGCTTGCAATCACCTTTACATGATGTCTTTTTGACATTATATGTTATTATACTTCACGTTGATATGCAAGATTTTGATTGGATAATACGAGGGAGATAATTTACTCTATCCCCTGGCTCAGCGGGAGACAATTTTTCAAAGTCACCTTCTCGTGCAGACCAATCAAAAATCGATAATTTAAAGGACAATGAATTGAATTTACATCGATATATTAAAGGCTATGCTCAAGTTCTATGTTTTTGTTTCATAGACTTTCAAAATAAAAACTATATTTTGCGTCACATCTGTTGTTTTTCTTATAACTGTAACGTTGTTATGTACGTGACGCCATAGTTAAGTACATTTTGATTAAAATTTAACAATTCAATTCAATTCAATTAAAATCTTGATTGCCATCACACAATACATTTATAGCATGTGACACAACATAACAAAAAAATGAACAAGATCAACAAGATAATTAATATACATAATGAAAGCAAATATTTCAAGAGTCCCCTGTCCGCAGTTCTATAGACTGTTTTAAAGGGGCATTAGCTGTCAAATTCATGTTCACCGATTTGATTCAAATTCTCATATTTGATTTATAACATACTAAAACGTATATCAAAATACAATAAGTCTCAAATAAACAATTAACAATGCATAGACTCGATGATAAATATCAGCATTTCGTGTGTATTTAAGTCTAGACGTCATCTAATTAATCATGGAGATGACCTCCGATGACTGCCGACAGTCACATTACCCAATATAAACATAAACATAAATATAAATAAATAGCTTTCTCGTGCAATTGGACTTGTCTAAGTCTGTTTCGTTTCATGTTATAGGTTAAAAAAATAATTTAATCATCGTTTTTACCTATATAAGAATGATTGTTTTGTCGATCGAATCAGTCAACGAAATGGGTCACCTTTGTTTCACTTTTAATGTTTATATTCTTTTCCTTTTAATAGCTGAATACATGCGTAACCAATCTCTAGCCATAGGGTTAAATTGAAGGTCACGTGAATACGGATTCAATAAGGTCGAATTATTCACATACGAGTGAATAATTTATCAGCGATGTTTCTTAGCTTATTTTGACAAAATTGAATTAAACTGAATGCCAAAAGTATGGAACGCCACAACTGCCTTTTGATGACGATAATCATATCATTAAGGGTTGAGATATAACATAAAGCAAATTTTCTATAGTATTACTACATTTGACTATACTACTCTGTCAATTTGCTATCATATCACTAAGATACGTTTATATACTATAAAGACGTTTTGATATAACACGGCGCTACCTTTTCATACTATTCTGTCATTTTACTTTGCCATGAAGACATTCTTTTATTCTACGAAGACATCTTGATATAACATGGAGCTACCTTTACATACTATTTTGTCATTTTACTGTACTATAATGCGATATTGCTATATTGTATAAAGATACATTTTATACTATAAAGACATCTTTATTTAACATTGAGAATTTTTTTCATACTATTTTGTCACCTCACTATACTATTATGTCATGTTACTATCTTATTACGATAAATTTGAATACTAATCAATCATCTCGATATAATATGGAGCAACCTTTTCATACTATTCTGTCATAGAACTATCTTTTGAAGACATATTTTGATATCAAGCTACCAAATTCTTATACCACGAGGTGTCTTTTACATACCAGTAGACTATTTGATTACACTACAAGACCATTCCATCGTACTATCAGAAGACAATTCTATAAATAGCGGCGACAATATTATATTGCATATTTTTCAATGATTGTTTTTTAATTCTGTGTTTTCAGTAAGTTCGAATATGGCCACATTAAGTTAATTTGTAGATGATCATCTACCTCTTTTAAGCAAGTGGGGCGGGTGGGAGAATTCTATTAATTTTTAATTCTTACCGATCTCTAGGAAATTTACATTATTTCTCCAAAATACAAATTAAAAAAAATGAAGAAAGTGTTCATGGGACACAGATGCCCCCGCTTCCATATAAATTTTAAAGGGGCATAACTCTTGAACGGTAACAGTTACAGTACTCGAATTCGAACTTGATCTGTATATTGTGGTAATAAGCATTGTGCATAAGCTTCAAATAATCGGCCATGGCAAAGTAAAGTAAGAGCACGGAAACCACAAAAATTGAAAATTTCAATGTTTTCAAGGGGCATAACTCATGAGCCGTAAAAGATGCAAAACCCAAATTCGAACTTGATCTGTATATTACGGTTAAAAGCATCATGAGCATTGTGTTCAAGTTTCAAATCATTCAACCAAGCCATACTGGAATTTCCAAAAACACAGAATAAAGAAAATAATTTAAAAATATGAAGTATAATATTTTCGCCGCTATTTATAGAATTGTCTTCTGATAGGATAGTACGATGAAATGGTTTTGTCGTGTAATCAAATAGTCTACTGGTAGATAAATGACACCTCGTGGTATAAGAATTTGGTAGCTTGATATTAAAA